TTATAATGACAAGTTTAACTCTCCATTAAAAGAATAATTCAACAAGTGGTAAAACTACTCTTACTTGAGAGCACAGACATAGGCTATGAACAATAAATCTTGGAATGCCAATTTTTGATGATACACGTTACATTTCATACTCTGCATATTAGTTACTACAAATCAGCGAGAACATGTTTGTCTTTTTTGGTGCTGGTCTCTTCATTATGCTTGATAAGATCACCTATTTTTTTGGTCTCCATGTATGAATGAGGAATGGTGATACTTGTCTTTCTGTGATTAGTTTACTTAACATACTGACCTCCAGTTCCAGCTCTGTTGTTGTAAATGACAAGAGGCTGTCACCCTTTATGGTTGGCTAACATTCCACTAAATGTATTTAGCACATTTTCTTTAGCCATTTGTAACTGGATGCACCTAGACTTGTTTTCATTTATTAACCGGTGAAAAATGCTTCAATACACCTTGAAAATGACATGTCCCTTCTGTTGGGCAGAGCTGAGGTGACTCCTGCACACTGCCAATGTCAAGCAGACACTCCCATCCTGGAATGTTTGCAATGCAAAAGCTCAGCACCCTCCATGATGAGCTGTCAGGAGTATGCACAAACTGAGGAGCTGCTGCTTTCTCCGACCCCCCACACCCAGGGTGTTCAGTGCTGTGTATTCTGGGTGGCTATTTCCCTCACATGTCATTTCACCACATGGAAGTGACCCTGGGCTGCCTCCCACCGAGGAGTGGTCTGTCAGACTCTCCTGATTGATAAAACCCTTTACTTAAAGACTCTCCCTATTTCTTTTACATTGCCTTCATCTTCTACCATCAAGCTGTTGACCTCTTTTACGCTGAGATGTAGCCTGGCCTGTAGCCCATGGCTACCAAGAGTTAGTCTGTTGTGTGTTTCCAGGCATGTAGTGCCGTTTTGTGACCCAAAAAATTAACACCATTCAACAAATGGATTTCATTTCTGTATAATACTTACCCAGGCTGGAATTGTTGCAACACATGGTAGTTTTAACTTTCAGAGGAAGCTCCTTGTTGTTGTCCACAATGGCTGTGTTAATTTGCATTCATATCAATGGTATGTGTGTCTCTTTTCTTTCACATCATTGCCAACACCCTCTCTTGCGTTTTAATAACACCTATCTTACTGAAGTGTGATGATGTCTATGATGCTTCATGATAGATTCTTGACGTGAATTACAGTAAGAATTTTTTTTTCTTTGAGATAAGCTTGTCTACATCTAATAATCGTTTTAAGTGTATTATTTGTGGTTTTTGCACTGAGTTAAGTTCCTTACATAGCCTAAGTATTATTCTCTTGTCAAGTGTACAGCTTAGAGAGACTTTCTTCTTTTCTGTAGGCTGTCGCTTGTTGGCTGTCTCTTTTGCATAAAAAAGTTGTTTAATTTTATGAAATGTTAATCGTTTTTTGTTGTTGTTTACAGTGTGTGAGCAAGATTATGCCAAACAAGTCTAGAGTATATTAAGGAGTCTTTATTAACCAAGCTTGGTGATAACAGGCGCATTAGAAAGTAGCAAATGACATGTCCATATGGCAATCCAGTCTGAATCGAAACCCCAAGACGAATAAATGATCATTACCCTGAAGTTCATCCATTAAACTGAAGACCTACATCCCAGCTTCCACAGCAATTTAAGTTATCCCAAGAGACATTCAGTGAACAACCTGGGCACACTTACAAAGCTGCAAATATTCAACTTTCCCTGGCTTCTCTCTCCACATTCTATTACTGCTGGGCCTCACCTCTCCTGGAACTCTCGAAAGTATACAAATTAGAAATACAAAGCATCTTAGTGTTAACATCATCAATAGCTTCACTGAGTCACCCAAGCAGTGAACAGAGGGGGAGGAATAAAGACATATAGGAGCCATGCTCAGGGGCTGCCTGTCCTCGGAGTCTGTCTGTAGGAAGCCAGAGAGCAAGCAGGTACTGGGGAGGCCAAGAGCAGGAGTGCCAGAGTGATGGAAGCACACAGCAAGGAGAGTGAACCACAGGCCTTTATGGGGGCTTGTGCGGGCAGTCCCCTCTCAGGTTCCTGGTGATAATAGGTAAGTGTCACAGGTAGACAGAAGGAACCACATAGGTGGCAGGGCCTGAGATGGGGGTGGAGGTTGGAGGGAGTTAAAAATAGCTTCCGCACTGGTGACCCTGAACTGGCTGCCTACCTCACTATTATTTTAGTTTTATTTCTTGAGCTTTGGTTCCTAATCTTCCAATGCTCTGAACATTTTCTCTATGTCACCTTAGTTTCAAAGTTTCAGGTCTCCTGTTAATGTTTTTAATACATCCTGTGCTGATTACTGTTCTTGATGAGAGATAGGTGTCTGGTTTCGTTATCAGCATGTATATATCCAGTTTCCCAGACTTATTAAAAGACTGTTCTTTTCCACTGCATGTTAGTACCTTTAAGAAGGATCCGTTGGTCATAGATGTGTGAGTTTACTTCTAATGCCTCTATTCTGTTTCATTGGTCTCTGGATTTGTTTTTATGCTAAAAACACAGTGTTTTAATTACTATTGTAATACTCTTTAAAATCAAATAATGTAATATCTCCCGCTTTACTCTTTTTCCTTAAGATCACCTTGCTTTTCACTGTCTTTTGTGGTTTCATACAAATTTAAGTACTGTTTCTTGATTGGTGTAAAAAAAATTGGATTTTTTTGTTTATTTTTCATAAACTCTCTCTTTAAAAAAAAAGATTTATTTATTTTTATTGGAAAGTCAGATATATAGAAAAGAGGAGAGACAGAGAGAAAGATCTTCCATCTGTTGATTCACTGTCCAAGCGGCCAAATGTTCGAAACTGAGCTGATCTAAAGCCAGGAGCCTTTTCTAGGAGTCCCATGTGGGTACAGGGTCCCAAGGCTTTTGGCTGCCCTCCACTGCTGTCTTAAGCCACAAGCAGGGACCTGGATGGGAAGTAGAGCAGCCAGGATACAGACCGGTGTCATATGGGATCCCAGTGTGTGTGTGTAAGGCAAGGACTTTAATCACTAGATTACCGTACCAGGCCCTATCACTATAATCTTAATAATCCTGTAGGGGGTTGTTTCTTGTTGTTTTTGTTTGTTCGTTTGTTTTTAGTAATAAAGAGTATTCTTGATTGCCACCAAGAAATTCATGGATGGGCAGAATCTTTCCTTCAGGTACTGATTTCATATGTATTTGAAACCAAAGATGCACACCTGGCAAACCTACAGCACGAGTGTCAATATATTGAAGAATATCTTGAAGAATATTTTACATCTAAAATAGTGAGGGAAGCAGGGAGGAGCAAAGAAAGGAAAAAAAAATCCTTCCCATCAAGATTCACTGAAATGAATACACACACACACAGATAAAAAGAGAAAATTTGAATTATTAATGTGCATGGAGGCATCTTAAGAAGATTACCAATTACATTCAGAAATACACACACCTTTTTTCAAAGTAGAGGGTATATAAGAATTTTAAAGTGGCACAAAATGATTCTCAGTGAGGTTTAAAGAGACCCCCCCCCAACAGACAAACCAAACTTCCCTGGGTTTGGGTGTTATATTTGATTTCCCCAGTTTCTTCTCCATGTTAATTCTTCCTGGTAAATGAGATCTCATAGCAACAGTATTCCTTCTGGAAAGTAGTTGATAACCTCCAGTTTCACATTTGGAAAAATGATCCATCAACAAATCACACTGTGTTGGGATTTTCAATGGGATTTCATAAAAATTGTTCAGCAATGTAGAGAACTTCTGTAACTGAGGAAAGAATTTTCTGAAACTCCATTTTTCTAATTGGAGCAAGAAAAAGAGTGAGGGAGTATGGGACTGAAAGGGAAGCTGTAATAAATGTACTCAACGTGCCAGGTCGAAGTAGCAATCATCCTGATCTGAATGCACTGGGGTGAAGGGAGGGGGAGTGGGTGTCTAGGGTGGTGCTTCAATGAATATTAACTGAATATTCAAATGAACTAGAACTTGGGATGGAGCATGAGCACTCCTAGTTTCCGTACCTCATTTTGGAAATCTTGGAAGTGTCTTGGTGCCACATGCATGGTGAAAGTAGATTTCAGTGATGAGTGTTGGGTGGCAATGCATGTGGAAAACTTCCGAGTGTCATCAGACATTTGAATAGATTATCTCCTTACCTACATCCAAAGCATAATGGAATAAGTAAGATTGAAAAATAAAAGATATGCTGTCAGAAATATTCTGATGAGACGTTATGGTTGGGAAACATGGAGGCAGTCCACTTAGAAGCAAAGGGTCTACATTAATACTGTTGGGACATACATATCTTCCTTAAGTCTACTCTGAATTGTAACCAAAGGCAAGATTAGGGAAGCTGGCAGTCGCTGAGCTGATGGTGTCTTAAGTATTTTAGATTAACTGCTGAGCAGTACGGTTTGGCTTCTCATGCAGAAGCTATGCATTCACATTCTATTGTTACAGATGTTCTTTCCATTGCCTGCGTATAGTCATTCTCTCATCATCTCATCTTCTGCAAATTTCATAAAATTTGTCTCCATTTTCTTGTACAAATGATTTTCAAAAATATTTGTACCTGGGGACATATTCATCCACATGTGGCACTAGTTTTAGTCTCAGCTGCTCCATTTCCAGTCCAGCTTCCTGCTACTGAACCGGGAAAACAGTGATCAATGATTCAAGTCCTTGGGCCCCTGTCAAGAAAAAGGTCCTGTCTCCCAGCTTTGGGTCAGCTCCACTCTGGCTGTTTTGGCTCTTTAGGGAGTGAATTAGTGGGTGGAAGATCTATCTCTCTGCCTCTGCCCGTCTCTTGTAACTGTGACTTTTAAGTTAAAACAAATAATTGATAGATAGATAGATAGATAATTTGGGGCATGGGTTTAGGTGATTGCAAAAGGAAAATATAAAGTAGTATTTCACTTAATAAGCTACTGGCAGATTCCTGAAAATGCAAACTCTTCTTCTTACTTTCAGTGCAATTATTTTTTCCCTTTAATTGTGTTGTTACAGAGGATCTTGATGATTTAAGAATGGAGGGAGTAACAACCCTGGTGCCTTCTGGAAGCAAATTTAATCCCGGTCGTCCTCTTCATCCTGCTGAACCTCAGGCCAAGGTCACACTGAACATCTGTTCAAGGTGTGCCAGGTAAAAAGAACACATCATGATATCACAATACAGTATGCATAAATATCGTATTTATTTTTTAAAATCTAAGATGTCGATGCAGATAATGTTGATGCAAAGGATGTAGACTTCTGTTTTAAGAACATCTTTTCCATCTAGTTATCTTTTAACAGTCATGCAGCTTCTCCTTTTTCCCAATGACACTTAGGCCAATAATGAATCAAAGAGTTTAGATTGTCTTCGTTTCACAGCTTGAGACTATTTTAAGTCTTTCTGAGTCTGAATGTCATTTGCCTTCTGCCCTTCTGTTTCATTTCAAAAGAAGATTCAATGTTCAAAGCCACTTTGAAAAGAACCTGTATGAAGGAAGAGTTTGCTCAGGTACAATTTATGATCTGATATTATTAGCCTCTTAACCTGCCCCTCATCCTGTTGACCTCATTGAAAGAATTTAGTCATCTAGATGCTTTTCAGTTTGGGCAGTTTGCATCTACAGTATGTTGCCAAAGAAGCAGCTGTTGGTTCGTGCCAAGTCAGCTCCCAGTGCAGGTCTAGCAGAATCTCACCAAATAGCTAGAATTCATTCTTTTGTAGAAACTAAATCTCATTTGCAAAGAGGCTTTTAAATCTGTTTAAATGATGAAGCAAGCCTTCTAACCCTTATGTAAATGGTTCAGATTAGCAAGAACAATGTACTGGCTGGACAATTTCATCTCCTTTTCTTTATGTCTAGCTGTTCTATTGTACTGTTTGAGAGGGGATTACTGGGTGGAAATGGGGAGGGAGAGAGTACGGTAAAACCATATCACAGTTTTGTGGCTTCACCCTCACTTGCTTTACTTCTTTGGAATTTCTACTTTAATTTTCTCTGGCTTACAAAATAGAAAGAATGCCTCCAAGAAAATCAAGGGATGTTACTGGAACCTTTAGGGAAATGCCTTAGCACAGTGAAAAACCAATGGATATGTTGCATTTGACTATGGGTTTGGTGAATGGACTTTCTACCGGAACTGTAAAGAGAACTTCTAACATTTATGTGATAAGATTTAGGCATTATGAGTGTGCAAAGTTCTCTCTGGAAAGCCTATTAGGCTTTGTGTTTTAAAGCTTAGAGTGGATTTGACCATTTACAATTTGACTAACGAAGTCTGCTGTATGGTTGTTCATTTTTGCCAAAGATTGGAGCATGATGTGTTTGCGGAATTTTTTTTTTAATAAAGGAAGGACATATGTTTTATGAAACCAATGAGAATTTGAACTGAGGCACAATCAAACTAATCAGGGACAGATTTATATTTTGAAAAGCAGTCTGATGAACATCTAACTAAATTTACTCAAGAAATATTCAAACTGAATAATAATTGGCTTAATAAGTGTATATTGTATTCTAACTACTGTTACTTTCCTTTATGGGGGGCTCTCATTTTGTGGGAGAGATACCTCAGAATTTGTCCTTTTCTCTATGTGTGAAGACAATAATGAAACTACAGCTAATCACAACTTCTGTTCAGTGGCAAAAAAATGGAGACATGTGAGCCCAGGTCATAAGTCAACTTCTTGTTATTTAATACTCCCAAAGTTGGTTGGAGGAATTGCTGTAGAATCTGCAAAGCTGTATCTGCTTGTCAAATAAGCAAGCCAATTACTGACACTAGGGTATTGCAAGAAAATAGATATGCGCTACAAAGTGCTGCTCAACAGTTATCACGTCATTCCAGAGCCCCTCGTGGGATTAGAGGTGAAGGTGCTTGCAGACCCAAGTCAGGATTTGGATGTGGACGCTCACTGTGTGTCAGGTCTGTGGGGATCCTCAGCCTTTGATTAGTCAGCAGTATCATGGAAAAATGCCTGCAGAGTGGATTCCAGTCATTCTGGGGGCTATACACCCATGGTAGTTAATTTTTTTTTTCTCTCAAAACAAGGAGTTTTTGGCAAAGAAATCTGTCAAGAAAAGCCCAAAAGTCAGAAGAGTAAAGATTGGCATTCATAGCAATGGTTAGGGAATTTGCAGGGCTGGCCGCACCACTCCTTCAATTCAGTTAGTTAAGTATGCAATCAGAAAAGCACGGCAAGGGAAATTTTAAGTGAAGGGAGGAAGGCTGTGATACTGTGGGGGAGCAGGACCTGGTGCTGTCAAGCATCCACACCCACAGCATTATACAAGGACTTGGTTTTGTTTTCAACTTGGTGGGAATTGAGGAATAATAAACTCAGAGGTAGAGGTACAAGACAACAGAGACAAAGGCAAAGGGGTCCATATTGTGATAATGGTGGTAACAGCACACCCTGCTATCCCGTGCTGTTCTATTTCTGATCCAACTCTCTGCTAATGACTTTGGAAAAGCCATGGACAATGGCCCAAGGATTTGAGCCCCTGTTCCCACACGGGAAATACGAAAGATGCTACTGACTCCTAACTTTGCCTTGGTTCTTTCCTGGATTCCATGACCAAATGGCGCAAACTTTTCTCTCCAAAGTTCTGAATTATAAGTAACAAACAAACAAACAAATAGTAAGTATTGAAAGAAGAGGTAAGAGCAAGGAATATGTTAAAAAGCAGGGGAATACTCACTGGTTTTCAGGGAAGAAATAGTTTAAGCTATTGGGAAGCTACCTTTTTATGTTTTTATGGTTTGTGTTTATGATTTTCATGGTGATTGTCAACTGCCCTGGTGCTTGTTAGCTGAAAATAAGATTATAAAAGAACCTTAACTCTTGTGAAGTTTACTGAGGCAGACATACCGGATCTAGTTTATTCCAACCAATTCATTGGGTAGCAATTGTTGGCAGTATGCATACTATTCCGAACATACTAAGTTTGTAGTTTCACTTGATTTTTATATGATTCTGGGAGTTAATTTCTAGTTTTATCCTCATTTTGTAGATGAAGAAACTGAGAAATGAATTAGTTTAATAACTCATCTAAAATAACAATTATGTAGGTGGCAAAACAGGTGAAAACACAAATAGTATGTGTTGACTTACTTACAACTCCACTACACAGTCGGTCAGTCAATCATGCTACAAAGTATATAGCTGTTGTCTGGAGGTAAACATAGGAGCCCAGAATAGAGAATGAATGAGTGTGAGAGAGAGTTAGTGACTAAGATAATAAGGTTTCATGATTGTTTTGAAGCAGAATAAAGCAATGTTGCACTTTCAATAAGAGAAATTTATATTCATTTAGAGAAGCCTAGTATATCATACAAAAGAATACTTTAGGAGATTTATTTGAAAATAGCTAGTATAGTTACTGGTAACAGTGGGAGAAGATTTCACAAGAACCTGAGTTTACTGTATTTGCAGTAATGTTAGTCTGTCGCTATTTAAATCATGCTAGTGAAAGGCATGAAGTTCTTTTGTTGAACATCAAAGATTTTGTTAGTTGGTGGTGTTGGTGGTATAATGGTGAGCATAGCTGCCTTCCAAAGATTTTATAATTCACAGCAGTAACAATAACCAGAACAATAGAATCGTCACTGGTTCCCTGGGCTACAATGCTCATATAAGTGAGTCTGCTAGTACAGCAGATTTCATTACATGGGAGAAATTCTGAGGTTGGAAAATACAAATATTTTACAATGATTAGTTAGCATGCCTGGCTTTCAGTGTAGGGTAGAAACAGGCACATATTTCCCTATTAAATTTGGTTGCTATACAAACTCCCTTGAACAGATTATCTGAAACAAAGATTGCCCAAGACCCTAACTGTGATACATTCATGGAGAATTGTCTCAGTGATACTTAGTGTCAATTATTTTTATAATGCATCGATGTGTTTATTAAAATTCTCCAATAACAATTTTTTTAAAGTGTATTTATTTTTATTTGAAAGGCAATGTTACACTGACAAAAGGAGAGACAAAGAAAGAGCTCTTGTATCCTTTAGCTCATTCTCCAAATGGCCTCAGTGGCTGGAGCTGGGCTCACCTGAAGCCGGGAGATAGGAACCAGGAGCTTCTGTAAGGTCTCCAATGTGGGTGCAGGGGCCCGAGCACTTGGTCAATCCTACACTGCTTGCCAGTGACATTAGCAGGGAGCTGAACTGAAAGTGGAACAGCCTGGACTCAGAACAGTGCCCGTACTACAGGGGAGGCTTGACGGTTATACATGGTGCCCCCCCAACAACAACAGTAATTTATGCTTTTGCATTTTACCTTTCTTATTTGCAACTAAGGCACAAAAGATGTCAAGAATTAAACTTCTGAAGCCAGGTCTTAGCAATTATCTGAAGTACATATCATAAACGTGAAGACTGTGAGTAATATCTAGCTGTTTAATGTGTTTGCAAGTGTTAAAATACCAAATAATCATTTTATGAGACCATTTGTATCACTGTAATAACTTAAAAAGAACCCTAACCATAGTGGAAATGATGGGCATTTATTTCTCACAGTTCTGTTGGCTGACAAATCCAAGTTTAAGGTGAGGGTGTTGGCAGATGCAGTGTCGGTTAAAGGACTTACTTCCTCCTCTTCTTGCTTGCTGCATCCTTACAAGGTAGGGCGTGACTTAGTTCTCTTTAGACTCTGTATAAGGCACCAATCTCGTTCATGTGGGCTCCAACTTTATAACCTAATCATCTTCAACCTCCTACCTCCCAATTACCTTGGCATGCGATATTAGGATTCATGATGTGAGTTTTGCGGGCAAGAAACACAAACATTCAGATTACATAAATTAGTTACTCATTTCACCTAAAAAATGGGATTTCTATCTTCCGTTAAAAATCAGTACGATTGGGCCCGGCACGGTGGCGCAGTGGTTAAGGTCCTCGCCTTGCATGCCCAGGATCCCATATGGGCGCTGGTTCTATCCCGGCAGCCCCGCTTCCCTTCCAGCTCCCTGCCTGTGGCCCAGGAAAGCAGTCGAGGACGGCCCAAAGCTTTGGGACCCTGCACCCACGTGGGAGACCTGGAAGAGTCTCCTGGCTTCGGATCAGCATAGCATAGGCCGTTGTGCTCACTTGGGGAGTGTATCATCGGACAGAAGATCTTCCTCTCTGTCTCTCCTCTCTGTATATCCGCCTTTC